CCCCAAAACCCCAAAACCCCAAAACCCCAAAACCCCTAACTAGTCATAATCTATTGAATTCAATTCAATTCAATTAATTGTTATGGGATATACTCATTGATATTTTTCTCTTCAATGACTCATTCATCATCATCTGTATCAATGTCATCTCTCCCGTTCGGACTCTGGTTTTGAGGTAAGGAGTCTGCATGTCTAATCATACTATAGGCTACTTTCCCGTCTTCCTTAGAGCTGAAGATATTGTTAGGGTGCCCATCAGGCATCAGTTCTAGATTACTGTAGCTCTGAACTACCTTGATAGTCCCTCTTTTTCTACCTGAGACACCCCACTTATTTGCAAATTCATCTGGAAATTGCTTGTCTATCTCCAAAAATTTCTTGAAAAATACAGATTCTCTCACCACTGGGTTTTTACAGAAGAACAAAAGAAGTCCTTGCAGATCCTCAGAGAGGTCATTTGCATAATGGCCTGCCTCCTTGTAAGCTTGCCTATCCTCAGGATGGAGAGCAAATATTTCAGGAACTTCTGGGAATTTCAAGCTTGGGAAGTGGTCATCGAGGCTATCGTATAGCCTAAGGAATAGATTTATTCTTGGCCTTATTTTATACTCTTTTCCTCTATAATCTACATTCAAGATGTACTCTCTGTAACTATAGCCATCTATTTCATCACACCTAATGTTAGAATTTGTCAGCTCCACTTTCAATGGAGGCAATGAGCTATCGGTTTGTAATGAAGGACACTTGGTCAGATGATTCTTGAAAGCATTTGCTGAAATGAAATCTTCACAATGGACTCACTGAATTTTGGAAGAAGATTCAAAAATCTTTTGGTAGATCTTATATCCTTTTAACTTTTCTTCAAGTTCCTTTGCTCTTTCATCACTTCGCTTTACAGATTCTGATAAAATAGAATTAGTCTTTAGAGCTTCTAATTTAGACTGCTCTATACTCTTGAATGAAGAAAGAAGTTCTTCATGAGCATTTCTTCTTTCCTCTAACTGAATCGTTTGGATTTCAACTTGTCTTGCCAATTCATCCCTCTCTTTTGAAAGAGCCTCAAACTCCTGTTGCAAATGCGGATTTTGCTGAGCGATTTGCTGAGTATTCATAATTGGAGCTGGAGCCTTACTCTGGGTTGCCACCTTTTCAGTCAATTTCTTCACCTGGTCAGTATTCTTTTGTTCTTTCATTTTCATTTCTTGATGTATCTTCTCATTTTCCTTCTTTAATGTTTTGGCTTGTTGGAGTAGTTCCTTTCATTCTTTTTCTTTCTGCTGTTTTTCTTCCTTAATTTCTTTCATTGAAGATTCAATCATTTCCATTTTCTGCTCTAGAAGAGCGTTGATGTTCTCCAATTTCTTATTAGACATAAAGTATTGTTCCTCCTTCTCCTTCATATGTTCCACCAATTGAGTGATTTTAGATTTGCTTTCGTCTATAATTCGGCTCTTTTCTTCATCATTTTCATCGTATTTGTCTCTAAAGCTTTGTTCAAGCTTCTCTTTTTCCTTCTCGTAATTATCCATTCTAGACTCGTACAGCTGGGTTTTAGCCAAAAGATCTGTCTTTTCTTCCTGGAAGTTTTGTAGTTTCTCCTTTAACGACGCATTTTCAATCTCTTTTTCATGCTTGAGCTGGGCTAATACTGATTCATACTCTTCTCAACGGGTTTTATAAATTTTCACCTGGGTCTCGGATTCTTTCTTCTCAGAGAGAGCTGAGTTTTCTGCAAACCTAAGAGTGAGAGAAAGTCATTTCTCAAGGATCCATTCCTCCTTCTTATCGAAGTAAGGCTTATCTTGACACTGATGTCGGAAGATATTGATTTGCTCTCGAATTGAAGCATCTTGGTCACTTCCAGGACTACTACAAAGGTTGATCTCTCTACGTATCTGGTTGAGAGTCCTATCATACTTCTTGTCCATGATTTCTTCTCAGTAAGAATTGAAGGTCTTCATAAAATCTTTCTCCTTCTTCTTGAGTTCTTTGCGAAGAATCTGCTCAAACTCCTCAGTGTCGCCTCCAACTGCTTTTGACTTGAATGTCCGGACGGCTTCTTCTAAAATATTGCAAGTGCCTTCATCAAGAACTTTTTGGTCAAGCTGCTGCTTACAGAAATGCATGAATTCATTCATTTTTTCCTCGAAAGAGCGGATACTGTCATTTATTGCCCTCTGACATTCATTTTGGCATACGTAGCTCCAAGCATTTTTGATAGAAGGGACTGTACCCTTATTAATTGCTTTAGTATAGCTATGACATAGTTCTAACAGCATTTCTCCAGTAATGAATTTTCCGTTGAGCGTCTTTGGTTTTACCTTTTTAAATATCTTACTTCTTAATTTCTTAGCGGCATCAACAAACTCAGGACGAAGGATATCATCAGGGAGAGACTGGAGTGCTTGTAAGTCAGTTTCTTCCTCAGTTGGCCTCACTAGTGTAGCTCAGTCTCTATCTGTGAAGAAGTGCTTGATTAATCTTCTGATTCTGTTCCTAGCCTCAACCTTTTCACTAATTCCTTTCTGTGGCATAAGAGCATGTTCGAAGTATTCTTTAGAGCTGATGGGATTGTCATACTCATCTCTTAATTTTAGGGAAAAGTCTCTGAGCACCCACAAGAATCTTGGAAAGTATTTTGCTAATTCATCTGGATCTTCCTCCTCAGTAGTCTCTGCTTGAATATGGAGGTTCTTCGATAAGTTGATTATCAGTGATAGATTGTTGATCGCATTTTCATCTATAGTTCCCATACTATTGTAGATAAAATATGAAGACAACAACAATGCGAATAAGAAGATTTTAGTATCATGATTATGGTCTTCATCAAAAGCTCCAATCCCTTCAGAATCGATGATGATTACTTTGAGTTTTTCGCCGTTGTATTCAGTTTCGACTATTTCATTCCAAACCCACAGCCCTTTGGTGCATGGGTTTATCGTTGGACCAACTCCAAATCCTTCTCCTATTTTGCCAAGAATGATACGATTCAGGAGGAAGGATTTGCCTGTCCTGTATTTTCCAGCTACAACAATGACCCCCACTTTTTCTTTGATGCTTGTTAGAAACTCAATTGCTTCATCAGAGACTTTAAAGCCTTCTTCATTGGTAAAATGAATCAAGGAGAGAGCTCTTTTCTCTGGAAGTTCTTGGCCTTCCCTCTGAATTGGTATTTCAGTCTTCTGCTCTTCTTGCCCCAAAGGATGATCATTTTGAGTATCTTGATTGCCCTCCATTTTAGAATATTAAATATGTATAATTAATTTGACTCTTCACTCTATCTAAAATTCCTATATAGGGGTTTTGGGGTTTTGGGGTTTTGGGGTTTTGGGGTTTTGGGGTTTTGGGG